CCGCGAACCAATCACCACCATTCTTGCCCATCCCTCAGAGAATCGAGTACAAAACCTTTGTTCTCACCTTCAAAGCCCTCCACAGTCTTGCTGCCCCCTACCTCTCTGACCTCCTAAGCCCATATCAGCCTGTCCACTCCCTCCGCTCAGGGGACACCACCCTGCTTCGGGTCCCACGCAGTTCCCGCCCCAACATTTGTGGTCGGGCATTCAGCATCTCTGCCCCACACTCTGGAACTCCATCCTGCAATCCCTCTGCTTCACCCCTTCTCTTGCCTCCTTCAAGTCCCGTCTAAAGTCCTTCCTTTTCGACTGTGCCCAGGCCTCCTAATGCTTCATTGAACTGCCTACGAGGGAATAAGTAAGAAATGTCTAGCATTTTATTGTCCAATCACCCCCCCGTGCCTCATGTTCAAGTGAAAATCCTCCATTCTTGTTAAAGAGGCTGACTTTTGACTCATAGTCCATCATTTTTGAGCATTAATATTCATCAATACTGCAGTGCAACTACTTGGATAGCTCTTTCAGGAAACCTGCATGGATACAGTGGGCCCTATATGATCTCTGAAGAGAATTTTAAGCATGACAGACCCTGAAAGATTATTCGCGTAGAGAAGCTTTCAAACTGTGCGTGTTTTGTCTTGGGGGTTTTGTATATGAATTTCACTAAAGGCTAAAACCACTATAAACTCATATTTTGAGAACTGCAGTAGAGTATAGGGTTGTTGCATGATGCAAGAGGGAAAGGGGGTTAGCAGGGAAAGTGACTGGATAGATATTGAGAAAAGAGGAGTATTAATCCATTAGATAAAATTGCTCATTAACCTTACCTCGCCTTTTTGTGAGACCTTGCAGAACGCAAATCAGCTGCTACATTTCACTCCAAAATATACAAGTTAATACATTTAACAGTAAATCCTGTGAAGCGCTTTGAGATGGCCTCCCAAGGTGAAAGGCACCATATCAAATGCAAAGATGGTTATGGAGTTATAATTAGGTTGGAAGAGTGCAACTACTTGGATAGCTCTTTCAGGAAACTTGCATGGATACAGTGGGCTGAATGGCCTCCTTTTGTTTTGTAAATTCTATGCAATGTTTATAATTTTATTGTTTGTAACAAACATATATTGTTAACTTTTGTGTAATCAACATAGAATCATGAGATTTTAAAGCTTAGCAAAACTATTATGAAAGAGAGGGGTCAACAGCCGAGTGGCTGAATGTGCTTTTGCAAATTTTGTATATTCATCGTACACCGACCGGGTTGGTGAAGGTCAGAATAAAGAAAATGATTTTGAAAGTACTGTGTTAGAGACATTAGCAGGAATAATAGGCAACATTAGTAGAGATAACTGAGAGGGTGGATGAAGGTAGTGCAGTTGATGTAGTTTATATGGATTTTCAAAAGGTGTTTGATAAAGTGCTGCATAAGAGACTTGTAAACAAAATAGAAGCTCACGGTATTAAAGGGACAGTGGCAGCGGACACAGAACTCGCTGGGAGACAAAGCAGAGAGCGGTGGTGAACGGTTATTTTTCTGACTGGAGGGAAGTTTGCAGTGGAGTCCCCCAGAGGTCGGTATTGGAACCGCTGCTATTTTTGATCTATATAAATGACCTGGACTTGGGTATAGGAAGTACAGTTTCCAAGTTTGCAGATGATACTGAGCTAAGAAAAGTAGTAAACAGTGAGGAGGATAGTAGCAGACTGCAAGAGGACATAGACAGACTGGTAAAATGGGCCGACACGTGGCAGATGAAGTTTAATGTGGAGAAATGCAAAGTGATGCATTTTGTGAGGAAGAATGAGGAGAGGCAATATAAGCTGATGGTACAATTTTAAAGGGGGTGAAGGAACAGAGAGACCTGGGGGTCATATAAGTAAAGCTTTGAAGATGGCAGGACAGGTAGATAAAGCTGTTAAAAAAGCGTACGGTATACGAGGCTTTATAAATAGGGGCATAGAATACAAAAGTCAGGAAGTTATGATGAACCTTTATATAAAACACTGGTTAGGCCTCAGCGAGAGACTGTTTCAGTTCTGGACTCCATACTTTAGGAGGAATGTCGAGGCCTTGGAGAGGGTGCAAAGGAGATTTACTAGGATGGTACCAGGAATGAGGGACTTCAGTTATCAGGAGAGGTTGGAGAAGCGAGGATTATTTTCCTTGGATTAGAGAAGGCTAAGAAGAGACTTCACAGAAGTTTTTAAAATTATGAGGGGATTTGATAGGGTGATCAAGGAGAAACTATATCCACTGGCGGGTGGGTCAGTAACCCGAGGACACTGATTTTAAAATAGTTGTTAAAAAAACAGAGGGAAGGAGAATTTTTTTCACACAGCAAGTTGTTTGGATCTGGAATGCATTGCCTGAAAGGGTAGTGGAAGCCAATCTGATAACAATTTTTAAGAGAGAAGTAAATAATTATTTGGGGATGACAAGTTTGCAGGGTTATGGGGAGAGAGCGGGGGAGTGGGATTGATTTGGATAGTTCTTTTCATAGAGCTGGCACAAACAGGATGGGGTGAATGGCCTCCTCCTGTGCTGTATAATTCAATGATTAGTATATAATGGCAGGTTGCCACTAAGGATGCCTTAATTTGATTTGCTTTGTTTGTTAAAGGAGTATGCATTAATTTAGCTCTCAGGTCAAAAGGTGGTGGGTTGAAGCCTTGTGTTAGAACTTTGGCCGAGGCTGACAGTGGTGGTCAGGGGTGACGTTCTTTGAATAAAACGTAAAAACTGAAGTCCTGTCTGTCCAGATGAACATCAAAGGTCTCGTGGCACTATTCGAAAAGAGAAGTTTCTCCCGGTGACCTAGCAAATAGTCCCCCAGATGTAGAGCTGGCTGTGCCACATTACTGTGCCCAAATTGGCTGCCCTGTTCACCTATAAACACACAGTCACTACACTTTACAGTAAAATCGGTGACGCACTTTGAGATGATTTGACCACATGACAAGGCATTATATCAAACGCAAGGATGTTTATTATAATAAATGTCAACAAACCTTAAATTTACTTTGCACACAAGAATAATTTTATGCTAAAATACTATACTGCTTAACAGTACAGCGTCCCTCAGTTCATATGAAATTCATATTTTAGTAAAGGTATATGAAAAGAATATAGAATTGTACATACTGTCGGACATCTCGTACCATTGCTCATTTATAAGGAGGCTTACTCTTGAGTGCTGTAAAAACAATCAAAGCTATTACATAATTTGTTTTAAAATAATAATAATCCTTGCATTTGATATAGCGTCTCATCATGTCTTTGAGATGTATCAAAGCACTTTGCAGAATATACTGTAAAGTGTATTGACTGTATATTTTGTGGGAGAAACAATGCATTCTCAGACTTGGGTGGGTGAGGGGGAATCCAATGAACCAGTGGAGCTTGACTCTGGCTGCAGGCTTCATTACTAGTTGCTCTGTATCTGCCTCCCCCACCCAGCCCACCCTATCATCGGCCTTCAGCCTTTCTGCCCCCACCCTATGGAGCTCCATCCCATATTCCCTTCGCCTTGCTACCTCCCTTGCCTTCTTCAAGGCGCATCTCAAAACTCTCCTCTTTGACCGAGCCTTCAGCCTCCTTCCATGCCCTCCACCCTCCCCGATCCTGAGCTCGGTCCAAGTCCCTGACTGTCCATCGCCTTAAAGGGAGTGCTATACAAATTTCATTTTGTATTCTATTCTCTACAACCTCATTTATTCTGCAGGAAAATCTAGAATTGATCAGGAATTCACTGCAACCAAGATAAAAGATCTAGGAGGAAAAGGTAGTTAGAATATAGATAGAGTAATAATAATAATCCTTTCATTTGATATAGCCCCTCGTCACTTCTTCTCGATGTCTCAAAGAACTTCACAGAATAGACTGTAAAGTGAATTGACCGTATATTTGTGGGCGAAACGCGGCAGCCAATTGCACACAGCAGCGTCCCACAAGCAGTCGTGGATTGAAAATGACCAATTTATTATTGTTTTTTGGAGGGATTATTATTAGGCGTGTGGAGTAAGTAAACGTACTAATTAATTAAGAGTAATTAGAGTACTGAACGGGAAGGTAGTTTGTTTACAAGTTATTCCAAGAATGCCAGTTCCACTTGCCGTATCCCCAGAACCTCCAATCGCAGCAGTGCTGTGAAACTGGCAGCACTACTGGGATTGGTGGAAAGAGTCAAGACAGTCTGTGATCATTCATCTTCTGTGGCCATATTTAGAGTGTTATTCTCCAATGCTTGGGAGCTTCACTCATAGTTTTACCCAGATGCTGTGCACTGGAGGAGATGAGAAGAAAATCTAAAACTTGTCTTCAAAAATAATGCTTTAGAAAGGGAACAAAACGAGTACAGAATAAGGTTTAAAACAACTAATTGTGGTTCAGAAAAAGATTCCCGGGCGATCCTGCAAGTTTTTTGGGAAAGGCAACGACAGCTTGCATTTGTATAGCACCCTTTATGCCGGACAGTGTCTCGGAGACGGTGAAAACCAATACCAAGAAAAGGAAAACACCAAACGATTTTCCCCCACAAAACGGTGGAAGTTGGTTACGTTTGATTTTGTATTTGACAATAACTTTTTGGAATTCTTGAAATGGAACATTCTCTCTGAAGTCATTTTGAAGTCACTTATTTAGTAAATTGTATAAATCAACCTCATGCTCACAAAAACGTTTTGTTCGGAAGTACTGTTTCTCTTGGGCTTTCAGGCTATCTGCCCCCAATCTCTGGAATGATATCAGAATGCCTCCAACTCTTCATCTTCCTCGTCTGTTTCAAGACCTTTGACTTCGATCTTGCTTTCGTTCATCTTCTCCTCCCCACCACCCTCAGCTCGCACCCTCGGCTCGCACCCTTGCCTCGCACCCTCGGCCTGGGTGCCAATCCAGCACTGTCAAGAACTTTGGGAGATCCTCTCAATGTGAAATGTATGATATAAATTTAGACTGTATTCTATTGTAATTGTGCCAATGAATTGTCATTGTTTTTCAGGTACAGTACAGTGACTGCATGGAGCATGGCGTTCCATTTGAACTGTAAGCATGAGTTTTGTTTCTTATTTGGCATTTTAGAGTTTTTCATAATTTTCCTCCATTCTCATTTCCACTCGAAACCAACCAAAGCAGCAAAAAGATGGTTGAGCATCTCTGCCTTTTGCTTCTCCTGAAACAGATGCTGTGAAGGTCAACATCAGTGTGAGTGGAACTGACTGCTGCAAGCTGTGGTTGAAGCAAAAGGCATCAATGTATTTAAGAGGAAATTTGATGCATACAGGAGCAAGAGAGGAATGGGGGCGCGGTGAGGGCTGATGTGGAGTAAAGATTCCGGCATAGACTAGTTGGGCCAAATGGCCTGTTTCTGTGCTGTATCATTCTGTGTATCAGGATTTGGATGTTTTTTTGCATGTTTTCCAGATGTTGACGCCATTTGTGAATCTAGATGACTGTTTGTGGGGCTCAAATTGCCTGACCTGTTTCACCCACAAAAATATACAGTCAATTCACTTTACAGTATATTCTGTGAAGCGCTTTAACACGGTGTGATAACAAATGCAAGGGTTGTATTGAGAGGAGCCAGACAATTTTTTTTAAAAATTGAGTTCTCGTAGAGCTACAAAGTTAGCATTAAAACTTCATTCAGAATTGTCCAACGCAGATTAGAGGCAAGAGCTGAAATAGGTGAAGAATATTGTATCTGCCCTACATATAATCCTGACAATGAATGATACAGCATAGAAACAGACTATTTGGCCCAACCAGTCTATGCCGGAGTCATTACTGTACACCTGCCCCCATCCCCTATTCCTTTCTCACTCTTGCTCCTGTATGTAAGTAGAGTCCATGCTTTTTTCCCTCTGGATTTTGTTTCTAATTTTTATTCTTTCAACTTTGTTGCTCTGATGGACATTTTCTTGTGTTTTTGTTTAGGGATATGGAACACTGTGAGAAATTTGAAATCTCTGAAAATAATGTGAATAGAGGGCCAGAAAAGATCCGACCTGAATGCTTCGAGCTCCTGCGTGTTCTGGGCAAAGGTGGTTATGGAAAGGTAATTGTCATTTTTATCATTTTTGTACAGTTATTGTGGAATCCTGTACCTTAGTGCTTAGAACACTTGCCTCCCAAGTGAGAGGACCTGGGTTCGATTTCCAGGCAGGGTGAAATGTTGGTCAAGTTTCCTTACTCCACTGTTTACCTAGCAGTAAGCAGGAACCTGGTTGTTAGTCGATTGGCGGTTCAATTCACTTTACAGTATATTTTGTGAAGCGCATTGAGACGTCTCGAAGACGTGACATCAAATGCAAGGATTTAAATCCAAAGAATATTTATTACAAGAAGATAAACCGAGATCTAATGTGCTGTTGGCTAACATTATCAAACATTGCACTCTATTTGCTGTTCAATGGTTGCCTCGAACAGCAAGAACAGCTGCAATGAGAAAATGGCATTTGGTCCTTTTGTTTCACTGCTTCCGTAGACCGTGCAAAGTTTATAGTGTTGTGTACTTTTCAAACTTATTTTGGATCATGGGATTGTCTGCATCTAATGAACAATTATCTACTAAAATGAGATTTTTTTTCTCAAGCCACAAAAATATTTCAGTAGAAAAGTCTCAAGATAATGATCTGACCTTGAGGTATGCGTTCAGCCATGACCAATTTCATTCCACAGAAAACATTCCCATGGCCCAAGACTGGAGGCCACAGTGTGTGATCAAGTATTTGTTTATCTATGCTTGTACATATCTGTGTATCTCATTCATAACCAAACATTTTTATAGGAGCTAACCCAAATCAACATGTGCTAAATAGTTGGTCGATGGTCGGATCGCTTTTTCAAGGGTAATAATCCTTTCAAAATTACAAATAATAATTTGGTCACTCAATCCACAACCGTTTGTGGGACACTGCTGTGCGCAATTGGCTGCCATGTGTCGCCCATAATATGCCAGTCAATTCACTTAACAGTATATTTTATGAAGCGCTTTGAGACGTCTCGAAGACATGTTAAAGCATTATATCAAATGCAAGGATTATTATTATTTATGTTTTATAGAACAGTGTGAGAAATTGTGATGTAAGCTATCATAAACTCCAAAATGGTAAATTTAAACTTATTTTAGTTTTGTTTTGCGATTCAATTGGATTTGAATTTGAGCAAAGTCAGCAGATCACAAAGCTAATAATATTGCCACAGAATTCAGTGGTTTCTCTGTCAGAAGAGATTATCCACTTTGAAACCTGTTCTTTGTATGTTGATAAAAATATTTAAAAACTGTTTCACGCCTGGAGGTGAGATACTGGAGGGATGTTCTGTTTACCAAACAAAAGTAGTTTATTATTTTCCTTTAATTCTTTGAAGGAAAATAAAGTTACAAAGCTTTTTGAGCTCCATTACCAATGTGATTGTCACTGTATATAACCTTCACTCAGGAGTACATGAAGCCGAATACGACAGCCTTTCAAACTGGATACTGTGCAGGGAATTTTTGTGTGACAAGTATTTCAGTAGTTCTAAATTCATTTTAAGGTAAATGTTGGACATTGCACTTTGTATATTTATTATCCTATTGTAAGCTTCAGGAGTTGGAGCAGTTGTGCTCATAGGCCAGGGTAACACTCGTGTGCAATGCAGGAGGAGCCCTGCTTTGTCAGGGACGCTGTCCATCACATTAGATATTAAATGGTCACAGTCTTCTCTACCGGTTCAGATGGACGTTAAAGATTTCATGTCACATTTCAAAAAGCAAATGCAGTTTCTGTTGATGAACAACAATTTATTCAAAGAAAAGACTGCATTGGTCTTTGACTTCATGGCTGTTTATGTGCAAATTGGCTAAAAAGTCGCCACACTTTACAGAAATCTTTGTGAAGCGATGTGAGACATTCCGATGTGATAAGACGTTGTATCAAATGCAAAGGTGATGATTTCACACAAGTCATTCGATATCTTTCAAATTTGTTTTAGGATTAGGTTTGCATCTGTGAATGTAACTAGATTTGAAAAATTTAAAAGTTTCTTTCGTTTTCATTCGTTTTCAGGTTTTTCAAGTAAGAAAAGTTGCAGGCGCATATACTGGAAAGGTCTTTGCCATGAAGGTGTTAAAGAAGGTAACTTGTTTAATGTTGGGCCATATTCAAAAGTCACTTTTTTTATTCTTTACCAAATTAATTTGTTTCCCTGTGAAAAAAATACTAGTGAAGACTTTGAATATAAACAACTACTTGTTCTCAATAGACTTCATTGCAACAATTTCATTTTGTAGGAGGAAATTGCTGATCATAGATTTTAATCTTTATATACATGCTCACTGAACTACCCTCGGCTTATCTCTTGATATTGTAAAGGTCGGTCAAAAATAGTAGCGCTAAATATAGTATGAATGACTTCCTACAAGATGATGTTGCCAAGAAATGACATGCAGATAAAACTGCTGTGAGCACATGCTGTTCGCCTTGATTCACATGCAACAGGAGGCGTCCAAAGAAGTTTCCCCCACTCTCAAACCTCCCTCCTTTTCTCTCTGATGTTTAATTCCTTTAAATGAATTAATTTAATTCTACATGTGCTAGTTGTCCTCTGATTTCCTCACCCAAGTAGCCTCACCCTAACTGAGCATTGACAGGTTGTCTGACTGCAGGGTGAGTTGCAGCTGATCCTGATCTTGTTCAGCATGTACACGATTAGCAGCACATACAGAAATGGCTGGACAAAATTTGACACCAGACACCCTGACTTTCCTTTTCTAACCAGAATTGCTGAGGTCCCATGTACGTTGCCCTGCGTGGAGGGTGCTATACACGTGCAAATTGTTGTTGTTGTATTGATTCGACTGAGATTTACTCACTCAGCACAGGGTGCCAAACCTGGGACCTTTACGGTTAATATGATTCAGTTACTGGCTACGCCTTTGGGCGTTGCTCCAAAGAGAATTAGTGGTCAGCATTAGGTACTTGTATCTTTTAGTTGAGTGATGACCAATTTGAATCCCTGTGATGTAGTATCGGTGTGTTTTAAGTCCTATTTTCTCATCTAGAAAAGTGAAAATGCTTTGTGAAAACGGCCCTTTCTTCCATCTGGTGACGAGGGGAGGTGCTGACCTGTGCACAAGTCTCCTGATTGCCAGTTATGGATTTGCATTGGTGATGGTTTAAGTGTAGATGTGCTGATCATGTTCAGCGGAAGGTGTTGAATTTAGATAAATGGAATCTCCCATTTTGTATTTTGCATTATTTTCCATTTGTGTTTCTATCTCCTCTTGTGTTCATCAAATACTAATATTCTGGGGATGGCTGACTTGCTTCTTATATAAAGAACAACCCTGTTATCATATCTATAATATGAGTTCAGATATAATGGGGAAACAATATAGACCCATGGTATGTTGAAAGTGTGGTATAATTCCTGCTTCTACCACCAAGTGTAGGAGCAAAGCGTTTCAAGCAAACAACAGAAATACTTGGAAAGGCAATCACTGCTGACTGTCTGGCTCTCTTGTCGGGTTGTCACGCTTGTTGGCAACATCACCAAACCCCAATGAGCCTGACAAGAAGTGCAGGCGAGTGCTCACAATACATCACATTTTGATGTAACGTGGAACTCATTTTACGGACCGCTTTGTTAGGTCGGAGTCGGACACTGTATTTTTTCTTCCTTGAGAGTACTTGGTTTTATTTTCTACTGTGTTGTGAATTATGTACTTGTCTAAAGGACATTGTGTACTTGTCTGTTCACTGCTGTGAGATGAAACCTTTCTCTATGTACAGAGTGCCAACATCCGGCTCCTGTACTGTTTCCTACACAAGGCTTATTCTGCTAGCTCATAGAAGTGGAATGAGAAGGAAAATTCTGCTCCTGAAAGTGAGATTCTTGATAATTGAATTGCAGCGACAACATACTTCTAACTCGATACAAACTGGATTGAGACCAAACCCAGCAAAGGTGGAGATTTCAGTCTTAGCTTGATTTGAATTCAGGGTCGTGGAGGCAAAAGGGCAATCAATGTTCTCTTGTAAATCATTGATTGGAATAAAACTAACATCAAATCATTTTGCAGCCATTGCCAATAAATATCATTTCCTCTTTTTCCAATTGTCAGGCCATGATTGTTCGTAATGCAAAAGACACAGCCCACACAAAAGCTGAGCGGAGCATCCTGGAGGACGTCAAACATCCCTTCATCGTGGACTTGATGTATGCTTTCCAGACTGGAGGCAAACTCTACCTCATCCTCGAGTATCTCAGTGGTTAGTAGCCAATATTTTTTTTACTGAGACATGAATCCCTCCATTGTCTGTCCAAGCTAGGAGACCGATAGATGATCTGTTTCTAGGACCTTATTTTTCTTTTAGGAAATATCATTATGGGATACAGTACATAGATAGTTTGGGACATATGTGTATACAACCGGTGGGAAGGTGGAAGGCGAACTAGATGCACTTATTTGTCTAGCATTTCTTATGTTCTTTAATGCCACTCCGAGGTTATTTTCTCTTCAGTTTTCTCTCCCTGCAGTAATGTGACTGAGAATAGCCCAGGTGGTGCTTTGGACCTGTCTCTCTTACACTAACTTCACCATTGCATTGGGTTTCAATATATTGTTCACATTGATTACCAAAACGGTTTAAGCACTTTGCTAAAAATGGTAGAACTGACTTCTATCTGGAAAATTAGTTTTGTGTCCAAAAAAAGCTTGAATTTCATACGGGTTTGCAGGAATGTGGACATGTCTACACCTTTCAGTCTCATTGATAGTCTCCTGTGTTGTACATTTCTGTGGTTCGTTGCTCTGTTGTAGATCAGCCAGCTCAACAATAAACCGGAATTAGTAGCCAATGTAGTTCACTAATACCGTGATGTGAATTTACGTACTGACCCAGTGATCTGTTTCTAGGGCTTGAGAAGATGTAGCTTTAAAAAGATTAGTTTCTTAATAGTTATATGAATAGTTATGGAGAATATTGTAGTTTTGGTGGACAGCTTCACAGAGTTGACTTGTGTAGTGTATTGAGCATGTACACAATATCACCCCTTGTAGATGCTGCCTTATTTACTTTTAACCAATCCCAATTGTGCATTGTCTCCTTTGGCTTTTTTTTAAAAAAAGTTACTGTACTTGTGGTAGTTAATGTCCTTCAGTTTCCCTGCTATGCTCACTGACTGTACCGTTGCAGGTGGAGAGCTCTTTATGCAGTTGGAGAGAGAGGGAATCTTCATGGAAGACACTGCTTGGTAAGTTGAAAGTGACACCAGAAAAGGATCTTTATACACATTAAAACAAATGGGCAACACAGCAAATCATTTGGCATTTGAATGATTGCAGCTGAAATGCATTAGGTTACGATTGGGAGTGACCCAAGGGCTGAGTTTTACTTTGTTCCGTTTCAATCTCCTAGAACGTGTACAGTGACAAATCCATAAAACCAAACCATATGCTGGATCTCACCCATGTATGGCTGATCTAAACTGCCAGTTTGGAGTCAAGTAATCTTTTTTATTTTAATTCAATTCATATACTTCAGTTCTTGCAATTTTCTCATTTATATCAAGCCAGTGATTCAGAATTGAATGACTTGTAAATTCCGTAGTGTAAACACAGCTGTTTGAAGATTGGAACTTGAAATCATGAGTCAGCCTTTCAGGAAAACCATCTATAAATATTGTAACATGGGACTGGTGTATTGGGCAAAAAATACTAATCGGACAATGTCTTCCTCAACAAATTCAAATGTAAATTATATTAAACTACTGCACAATGTGTTAAGTGCTTCTTACTCACACTCTACCTGAAGCCAAACAGGGTGTAGTTTTATAGGGAGCCAGTGGTCCTCCCCTAACCTAGCTCATTACTCCACTAACACATGGAATGCCTGGAGCATGCCACTGAGGGAGGGACGATGCTCTGAACACGAATTGGAGTTAGAGGCTGATGGAATGGGGGATGCCCAGGCTCCAGGACTTTTCCTAACAGTAGTGGACTGGCTCTTCTGAGGGTCTGGGTCTGTTAGCGATTCCCTTCCTCTTCTCTCCCCACCTCCCATTTGCATTTTTGTGGATTGGAAATTGAATCTCGGTTTGCCTGAAGAAAAATGAATCATCAGTTTTGATGTGGAATGAATCAGTATTATATTTATCCGTTTAGTCCCATTGTCCTTCCGCACCCCGGTCCCCATATCTGTTTACGCTTAAAAGAAAATCTAATGCCCTTTTAGTTGGATTGAGCTTTTAATTTTCACCTTAATTTTCTCAACAAGCTTTCTGTAATGGCTTGATATACACAGCATCCATTGCATTCCTCATTAATACTCTAGTAATAAAGAACTATTAAACCTGTCAAGCAAAGCTATTACAAAGCCTAGCTGGCTGTCCTAAATGGATTGGATTATTATCTTGAATTTTCGTTTCTAAAAGTTCTACCTCTGACTTAGATGTTAGGCTAACTGGTCTAATCTCTTTGTCCCTTCTGGAGCAGAGATGTTACATTGGCAACCTTCCAGGTTTTTGGCACAACTTTCATATCCAAGGATATTGTAGCCAGCCTGTTTCCTCGACTTCCTCCAACATAGGATGCATTCCCTTTAGCCCTGCTGACTTATCCATTAAGTTCTATCAATTATTAAGTGTCGCATCTTTTTCTAATAGCTTTCCCATCAAATTTCTCCATCTCTTCATGTACTCTCACATTCTCACCATCACAATCTTCTGTTAAAATCTGAGATAGAATGCTTGCTTGGTATTTCTGCCAATTCCTTCATCTTCCATGGTGAGACTTCCCTTTAAGTCTTTTTTTGGTCATTTCGGTATCTGACATGCGGAAACCCTTCACCATATTTAAGAGTGTCAAACCAATCTGCTGAGAGTGTCATGTAGGCGTAGAATATTCCCTATGTCTGGAATTGAGTGTGCACGCTCTTCCCCAGAAGAATTTGTCCTGTTCATCTAAAGTATTAAGCGTAGGTTGGCAAGAGCCAAGGTTCGGAGACCCCAGAGTATTTGAGGTACTGCTGGAGTTTGAGCAGCTAATTGAACTCTTTTGGTTTTTGAGTTTGTAGAATTCTTTGCTATTGTTCTTCATGGTATCTGTAAGTCTCTCTATTGTATTATTGTGCTCACTCCCTACATTTTCTCCACACTGCTTGATGTTTTCTTTTGTTTTTGTCAGATGCCTTTTTAAGTCTATTTCAATTTCTTTAATGATACAGGGAAGCCAAGCTTTTGATACACCCCCATCACTTGTGAGAATATGTCTAGTTTGCACTCTTAATGATTGCTGTTTGAAAGTTTCCCTTGGAAAGGACATTCAGAAGGAATAATGATGGGTGGAGGCTCATGTGAAATGTAATCCCAACTAATATTTTGTGTGTAAAGTCTTAATTAATTCTATAGAATAAGATCCTTACTCTTTGAAATAAGTTTTCTTTTCCCAAAACATTATTAGCTATGTTATTAATGCCTTTTTTAAATTAGTTTTTATTTAGCGGAAATCTCGATGGCTTTGGGGCATTTGCACCAGAAGGGTATTATCTACAGAGACTTGAAGCCAGAAAACATCATGCTTAATCATCAAGGTAAATTAGAATTTGGGCGTCTGTTTGGGAGGTTTTCTGCTGATACAAGTGAGTAAGTCTGTGGTTTAATGATTGAATCATGCCCATGGGTTGTCAGATGGTTTAGGAGGTGGGAGTATCGATGCAGATTGTTCTGTCATTCAATGCATTGAAATTTTTAACATTTGTTCTTACCTGTTAATCAGGTTATTTTGTTTGTGCAGCTTTCAGTTTCCATTTAAATTTTATTAATGAGCAAACTACTCGATTGAGAAAATGATGATTATACTATATCCATTTTGTTCTTGGTTTCCTCTGTACTATATTGTTCCTATTGCATGTTATTTTAGCTGGAACAACTGTATTAATTATCTCAGTTGGCTGCATATGTTAATAGAAATCTAGTGTCCTTTTTGTATATAAAAAAAGAAGTGCAACATTGTTTTAATTCCTTAAATTGCAGAAACATTTTAATTTCTCAAAACGTTACCGTAAGGATCTGGTCTTGGTTCGGTACATGACTATACTTCATAATCAATACGAGAAAGCCGAACTCCCCAATGGCTATCTTGAACGAGCTTGGCAGATGTGTGAGAGTTAATAATGCGTAGCTCGACAAAACCCGCAATGATCTCCTCTTGTCCGTCTCAGCAACCACACAGGTTATCAGGATTTATTGCATCTGTTGCATTTTTAATGCATCAAAACATTGTACCAGTACATCTTTTGAGAATGTAACTGCAACTCTTATTTTTGTGTTCCTGCTGAAATATAGGCATATGCAATCTAACAACTTCACTGCCAGTCAACACCATACGGTCTTCTTTAGCTGTGTCACTTAATTGCCTTTCCATGAATGCACAATACAAAGGCTCTGCTTTTGCTAGGTTTAAGGAATACAAGGCGGGATGCCATTCAATTTGGGGTTCAAATGGCAGTGGCTGAGATCCACAATTAGGAAGAGATTGGCAGTCTGGCTCAGAGAGAAAATCAGGAGGGAGGCTTGGTGTTAAATTTGAGCACCTCAATCAGGGAATTGTGTTGTAGTTATCTTCTTCCTCTCCCCCTCCCAGACATCCAACAACAAAATGACATTTCTATAGTGCCTTTCACGGAGGGAGGATGTTCCAATGCATTGGACAATCAGTATTTCAGATCCAATCTTGGGATCTGGGAGGCTGGATGGCAGGGAGGGAAGGAGGGTGACCGAAGGCACGGTCAAAGTGGAGGGTCTTGAGACGGGTCTTGAAGGAGGCAAGGGAGGGGGCGAGACGGAGGGACTGCGGGATGGAGTTCCAGAGAGTGGGGGCAGAGTGACAGAAGGCCTGCCCGCCAATGGTCCATTATTGTGCATCCATTGATTGCTGATTACAATCTATTGCTTTTTGTTTCAGGGCACGTTAAACTAACAGATTTTGGATTGTGTAAAGAATCCATTCATGATGGGGCAGTGACGCACACTTTCTGTGGCACAATAGAATACATGTGAGTTTTTTTTTAAAACAAAGTAATATGCATTGGCTGGAGACATAGAGAAGTTTTATTATGACTGGGGCCTTTCCCATTTTTTGTTTGTGCATTAGTTACAAACAGATACAATTTGAAGTTAAGATTATTCAGTAATTTGCTTGATTTTAATTTTGACCCCTGGTGGGAGTCTCCCCTTGTCTCATGCCTTCCCACCAAGGCAATGAGTGGGAGTGCTGCTCCCAGTGTCCCTCTTTACCTAGCTCCCTGTGTGTATGTGTGTGTGTGCTTACATGTGTTTGGGGATGGGGGGTGGAGAGAGAGAAAATAGTCTAGGGAAACACTTACCAACCTTAAGGTGCAGTGCCTAATAGCTGAGCAGTGTCGTTACTGACTTTAGCTACTGGGCTTCCTGAAAATAGCGAATTTTAAGTTATTTTAATAACGCTTGTACAGTATCAAAGTTATTTAATGTGGGATAGAAGTGTCCAGTGTAATTTATGGCAATGAATACTATTAAGATGTTCGCTCTCCCTTTCGCTTCTCTCACAGGGCACCTGAAATTTTGATGAGGAGTGGACATAACCGTGCCGTGGACTGGTGGAGTTTGGGAGCCTTAATGTACGACATGCTGACTGGAGCAGTAGGTGGACAGTTAATAATTGCATGCTTGCAACCTTTTCGTGTCCTCTACTGTATCGTGAAAGGGCATCTACATTAATGGAACCAAATTAGGAACTACTGTTGCCCGCACAAGATTCCATGATGGATCAGAAGGCGTCACATTTTCATAATACGGCCTCTTTTAACCTCCCTGAAATATTTCCCATGGAATATTTTTAATTTTAAAAAATAATGTACAGTATTGCCGTTCTATTAACATTTCACTAGCATACCTTCCAAACAAGAGTAATGGGAGAACTCCCACTCTCGTTTCCCACTCTTGTTTTGGAATTGTTTTATCCAGAACAAAAAATATCACAACTACTCAATGTTCTGAAGTCAGCAGTCTTCGACCTTCATTGACCACTTAATTCAAAAACGCCAAGTTTGCTTATTCCATGTTTTCTTGTTGCCTCGCTGCAGTGCTGAGAGGTGCCAGTGAAATCACTGATTAGAGAAGATACTGGTGTGTTTTGTCTTTGTTGTGTGTGCAGTATGGCTCATATAGACACAAGCTTGGTCTCATAATCTTCTCGTTCACAGTTGAAGATTACGACATAGAATGTAAAACCCACAACAAAGATTATTAACAGTCATATCCCTACTGTTTAGGATTTAAATCTTGCCTCTCTGAATGCTGTTGTGTACTAAGAATAATAATCTTTGCACTTGATACAGCCCCTTATCATGTCTTCGAGGCGTCTTAAAGCGCTTCACAGAATATACTGTAAAGTGAATTGACTGTATATTTTGTGAGCGAAATGTGGCAGCCAATTGCGCACAGCAGCGTCCCACAAACAGTCGTAAATTGAAGTGACCAATTTATTATTATTTTTTGAAGGAATTGTTACTCCCGGAAAAGCAATCCGCCAATCGACTTCGCAACCGGGTTCCTACTTACTGCTGGGTAAACAGAGATGTGTGGAGTAAGGAAACTTGCCCAACATTTTGCCCTGTCGGGAACTGAACCCAGGTCTCTCGCTTGCGAGGCGAGCGCTCTAGCAAAGGAGTTGGATCTGGTATTTTACTTTTACAACCTTTATGCTGCTGGAATTTAGAACAAATCAGTCATTCTGAGCCCCGTTTTCTGCAGTTAACGTCAACATGACAGTCTCAGTGGAAGTGAAACCACCTCTAAATTGGGCTTCATTCTGTGTGTTAACTGCTGGGGGATTCAGGACTTTCTACCCATAACTTATTGTCTTTCAATGGTAATGCTTTGTTCTGCCCGCATTACTGTTCCATCCAGCACATTCTGGGCAGAGCACTGCGAAACAGTAAAACTTTCTATACAATGAGACAGATAATGGTGTGTGCATTGAAAGGACAGGGAAAGGACTGGAAAAAGAAACAAAAATCAACTTCTAGTTTGGTCAACTTGTCTACTGCACAATCTTTTTCAGTGAAATTTTTCATTGTGCATTCCCCCAGAATACTTGTGCTATTTTTTTAACGCAGCAGTTTTTAGCCGGGTTTTCATTTTTTTCAGGTTTGTGCTGATTTATGCTTTTACTGTTTAGCCGCCATTCACTGGTGAAAACCGGAAGAAAACCATCGATAAGATCCTGAAATGCAAGCTCAATCTGCCGCCCTACCTCACGCAGGAAGCCAGAGACCTCCTTAAAAAGGTATGTTGTTTTTAAATTTTAATATTCAACTTTCATCGCTGCTTACTTGTATTTTTCCCGACAGGGGGCAAAACCTTGGGCAAGTTTCCTTACTCCACATGCCTGATAATAATCCCTCAAGAAAAAAAACCAACAATAATAAATTGGTCACGACTGCTGTGTCTTGCCCACAAATATACAGTTAATTCACTTTACAGTATATTCTGTGAAGCGCTTTGAGACGTCTCGAAGACATGGAAAGAGCTGTATCAGAATGCAAGGATTTTTGCCCTCCAAATGGTACGGACATTGAACTCCCAACTGCGCTCTTTCCTTTCCACCCATTCTCTTTTCGAACCCCTTCAGTCAGGTTTCCGTGCTGCCCATAGCACAGAAACTGCCCTGGTCAAGGTCACCAATGATATCCTGACCATCTGTGACCAGGGCTCCCTCTGCCTCCTCGTCCTCCTCGACCTATCGGCAGCATTCGATACGGTCGACCACGCTATCCTACTCCACCGCTTGTCCTCTCACCTCAACCTTCAAGGCACTGTCCTTGAATGGTTTAGGTCGTACCTCTCTCACCGTCTTCACTTTGTCTCGACGAATGGCTTCTCCTCCACCCCCCGCACTGTCTCATGTGGTGTCCCTCAGGGCTCTGTCCTTGGTCCCCTCCTCTTCACCCTCTATATGCTCCCCCTCGGTGACATCATCCGCAGACATGGAGTTAACTTCCACATGTATGCGGATGACACCCAACTCTACCTTTCCTCCTCTACTCTCAACTCCACGACCACCGATGTCCTGACAGCTGCCTGTCCGACATCGAGTCCTGGACGAGAGACAACTTTCTTCAGCTCAACGTGCGAAAAACCGAGGCCCTCCTGATTGGCTCACGTCAGCGCCTCCGCACCTCAGGCGCTGACACCATCAGCATCCAAGGCTGCACTCTCCACCTCTCAAAGCCAGTCAGGAACCTCGGCGTTTTGTTCGACCCTGAGCTGTCCTTTCTCCCTCACATCCGCACCACAACTGGCACCGCCTTCCATCACCTCCGGAACATCGCCAGACTACGGCATTACCTCACCCCTCACGCTGCTGAAACCCTGGTTCACGCCTTTGTCACCTCAAGGCTGGACTATGGGACCTCTCTCCTCGCGGCCTTCCCGCCACCTCCCTCCACACTGCAGGTCATTCAGAACTCTGCAGCTCGTGTACTGTCCCGCACCAGGCTCGGGACCACATCACTCCCACCCTCGCTCGCCTCCACTGGCTCCCCATCCCCCAGAGGATTGATTTCAAGATCCTCATCCTCACCTACAAGGCCATTCACGGCCTTGCTCCCTCCTACTTCTCCGACCTACTATCCCCCTACCTACCTGCCCGTACCCTCCGTTCCTCTGGCTCCGGTCTGCTCCACGTCCCCCGCCCCAACCGCCCTACCATCGGTGGTCGGGCCTTCAGCCTCTCAGCCCCCAGGCTCTGGAACTCCATCCCCCAGTGCCTTCGCCTTGCTTCCTCCCTTTCCTCCTTCAAGGCCGGTCTCAAAACTTTTCTCTTTGACCGTGCCTTCAGCTCCCCTCTCGACTCTCTTCCCACTCCTCGCTCCCTCCCTTCCCTCCCCTCACCCTGACCATTTCCCCCCGGCTCGGGTCATGACCCAACTGTGCAGCGCCTTGGGACGTCCTCCTGATGTGAAAGGCGCTTTATAAATGGAATCTTGTTGTTGTTGTTGTTGTTGTTGAACATTGGAAACCTTTAGACTTGATGAATTCTAAACAATCAAAAAATAGTTTGCTTTGATCAAAAGGTGCATTCAATGTCACCAAACTTGTCAGGCAGCATCTATGGAAAGTGAGTCAACATTTTGGGTCCATGACCCTTCATCAGAAAATTCACTTTGTGCTTTGAAGAAGTTGCTAGAATTGACCCAGTAACTCTGGGACTCTACCCTGCGTGAAGGGTGCTATATAAATGCAAGTTGTTATTGTAATCACCACGAAAAGCAGGTTCAGTGCAGGTATGACTGACTCCCTTAAGACACAAATATTTTTAACAGGTGACTAAAGCAGGTATTTAAGTAGTAGGATTGATGACCAGCAAAATTATTGATCTCTTCTTGCCAGGCAGGTTGTACAAACAGCTTTATCGTATGATGAGCCAAAGAAAGGAAAGAACTTCTCCACATTGTTTGGGGCTTTTGAAACATCGTTACAGTGTCATGGAGCCTTTTTCTGGATGTCTAACTACACTTCTTGCCTTTTATATTTCTAGCTGCTAAAAAGGAATGCTTCAGCTCGCCTGGGAGCTGGTCCAGGGGATGCCGCAGATGTTCAGGTAAGAATGGAATGGAATGCGCTCTCTCCCCCTGGAGGGACATACCCTGCTTACCTAATTCCGGAAAGTATTAGGTGCATATCGGCAAGAGCCAAAGCTTGGGGGGACCCCAGAGTGTGTGTTGGGGGTACAGCTGGAGTCTAATCAGCTAAAACCACATAGCTAATCATTGATATTGCTGTCCAACAAGGTTTCTTACTGCCAGACTATCGAGACCGCCACAGAGGGCTGATTCGATTCCAACATTTTGTTGCCAAACATGTCACCTTGGAGCCAACTCAGCTCCAAGGAGATTCTGCTGACTCCCCCCTCCCACCCCTCCCACAAAGAGAATAGTCACTGTTGGTGAGTGGAAATAACCTGTGTGGGTTGCAAAGTCAAAGCTGCCTGAGTGGTTATTTATTGTGAGGTTATTATTTACTGTGAAACTGCTCTTATTAATATTTCATTTGTGAATTTAATGTAGGCTCATCCTTTCTTCAGACATACAAATTGGGAGGATCTTCTGGCTCGGAAAGTTGAACCCCCTTTCAAGCCATTTCTCGTAAGTATTGGGAGGAGGCTGGGTTACAGAAACAAAGTGAACTCTTCGAAGTAATATCTAGGTGTAATCTGAGGGTTTACTTGTAGAGATGCCTTTCTATGCCTACTTATAGGAACTGCTCTTTGAGTAGTAATACCAATATTAATAGTAATTCTTAAATAGTAATAACAAGTTTTATTTCTTTGTTCCAGCTCATTTCAAAGAAACTGAATCAAACCCATCACCTAAACTTTTAGAACCAGTTTTTTTTATTTTCAAAGGAAAATTAGAATCGTAGAATCGTACAGCACAAAAAGAGGCCATTCGGCCCATCAAGTCTGTGCCGGCTCTTTGAAAAGAGCAGTGTAATGTCAATCCCACTCCCCAGCCTTTTCCCCATAACCTGCAAACCCGTCCTCCTCAAATACCCTTCCACCTCATTTTTAAAAGTTGTTATTGAATCGGCCTCAACCACCCTTTCGGGCAATGCATTCTAGATTCGAACAACTCGCTGCGTGAAAAAATTTCTTCTCACCTCCCCTCGGCTTCTTTTAGAGACTATTTTAAATCTATGACCTCGAGTCACCGACACACCCACCAGTGGAAACAGTTCTTCCCTCTCTAACCTATCAAATCCCCTCATGATTTTGAAGACTTCTATTAGGTCTCCTCGTAACCTTCTTTGCTCCAATGAGAATAATCCTGGCCTCTCCAGCCTTTCCTCATCATCAAGGTCCCTCATTCCTGGTATCATCCTCGTAAATCCCCTCTGAACCCTTTCCAATGCCTTAACATCCTTCCTATAGTGTGGTGCCCAGAACTGGGCACAGTATTCTAACTGAGGTCTAACCAGTGTTTATATAGGTTAATGATAACCTCCTGACTCTTGTACTCTATGCTCCTATTTATAAAGCCTAATATCCCATATGCCCTTTTTACAGCGTTATCTACCTGTCCTGTCACCTTCAAGGATTCATTTACCTGCACCCCCAGGTCTCTCTGTTCTTTTACCCCCCCTTAAGATTGCATTACCAGCCTATATTGCCTCCCCTCATTCTTTCTACCAAAATGCATTACCTCGCATTTCTCCACATTGAAATTCATCTGCCAATTGAACGGAAAAAAAGTTACGATTATGTATAAATAAAACCGATGTTTCAAAATTAATGCATGGGTAAAGTTTGACGTCTTAGGACGTCCTCCAAACCTGAAAGGCACTTTACAAATGTAATTTGCTGTTATTGTTGACCCCGTGGCAATCTCGTGATATGAAGAAAATTTATGCTTGGGAATGATGAATGGCCTGGCCAACAGGCAAATAGACCTGGAGAAGATCTGAACAATTAGTATTTCAATTCCTAATGAATCCTCCCTGACATTTCGCAATGTTTGTCTTTAGCAATCGGATGATGATGTCAGCCAGTTTGATTCCAAATTTACACGGCAGACTCCTGTCGACAGCCCTGATGACTCAACCCTCAGCGAAAGTGCCAATCAAGTCTTCGTGGTAAGAGAGCATAGGACACACAGTAAAGTTCTGCCCACTTCCAAAGAGTGGTTAAACTCAATAGCTTGCACCATTAAATAAAAATCTAGAGATATTTGTGTGAAATGAGTGCAGCTTAATTTGCTTCTTGTATTAGTTGATACTTCGTTCGCTAATGCCAGATTTCTTTGCTCATTTTTTGATGTATAATCCTGCCTTTTTTTACGAAAGAAAATGTCGGTCACTGGCATTGTTCTCTGGATGTTCTTTTCATTTTCTTTTCTGTCTGATGTGCAAGACTGCGTGGCAATATTTTATTTTTGTTCTAGCATCTCTGCGGGAGATATTTTCGTGTTGGGTTTTCAGTCTTCGTCAACATTTGAGAAAGGGAAATGAAAGTGGTTAGAAGAAGCCCCTTCCTCTTTGATGTGTGGATATCTGCCTTGGGTTAATAATGCTGAGCAGGATTGAGCTGGGGAGGGGGTGAATTTAAGAGTTAAATAAAATAAATCCACACATTGCACTAATGGACCATTTTGATTCACTTTAACCATGTCCATTGTCCTTTTCATTGCCTTTTTTTTAAAGATAACAAAAGTTCTTTAATAAAGCTCTGCTCACTTTCCGTGAAGGATTTAGACACGATGCTCGCTTGTAGTTTTCAACTTACTTTAGTTCCTATTCTAATAATAATCAAATAAATATAGTAATCCTTGCATTTGAAAGAGCGCCTTATCACGTCTTTGAGATGTCTCAGAGCGCTTCACAGAATGTATCGTAAAGTGAATTGGAACATATATTTTGTGGGCGAAACGCAGCAGCCAATTGCGCATGGCAGTGTCCCACAACCAATTGGGGATTGAGTGACCACATGTTTTTACTTACTTAATATTAATCCAGGTCTTCTCTCTGTTTTCAGGGATTCACATATGTGGCTCCTTCAGTTCTGGAGAGCGTAAAGGAGAAGTTCTCGTTTGAGCCAAAAATTCGATCACCTCGCAGGTTTATTGGGAGTCCCAGGACTCCTGTCAGGTACTTGGCTGTTCCTCAATGCGGTCGGTAGCACTGTTAGACGTGTACCGTCCACTTGTACAACAACTGTCCTCTGTTCTGCAGGAGTTTATATTGTAGCCTTGTAACAAGAAGAGTTAACATTTCTCAGTAAATTGACCCCTTTTTGGATAAACTTGTAGGAATGACGAAGCTCACAGAAAAAAACTGTGATACTTGGCAATATTCTCTTCAGTAAAACCCATCAACTACATTTTGTCAACAGTAACATCATAAAACAAGCGCCTGAACTGTTATTCACTTTTATTTGTTATTTTTTGCTTTCCCCCCCAACTTCCCTCTTGACGTATGCTGGGCTACAATTCCATGGGCACCAAAGTGGCAATTTGTCGTATGCAAACTGAGACGGGGAGCGATAACAGGCTATTCAACTGTGAGCTGAGCCAGTTCTATCTTCACTCGCCATCCACACGCACATCTTGTCTGTGGTGGTGGTAGGGGGGGAGGGGGGGTGCTCTAACTAATAAGCAGAAAGGGGAATCTTGGCCAATTATGTTGCCCCCTAGCCCAGAAGTGCAAAACCTAACTGCTACCCCCACGGAGATCAGCTAACTCAGCCACACACCTGGATACCATACTGCTGGCTGCCCTCCGTTTAACAGCTTGGCTGATCTGTCAGAGAGTTACCCGCTAGTGTTCATATCGAGTTTCGTGGCTATTTTAACCTTGTCTGTTTCAGTCCCTACATTCTGGCCCATTTCCTTCAAGCTTATCCACCACATCAATGTAATGTTTGACTAAGAATGGAACTTGGCTACCCTGTTTGTGGTTTGTAAATTCTCGCAATACCCCCGAGAACACGTATTCTAGATCAAAGAGCATTCTGTTTCCAGGACAAAGCTAGTGGCATTCATCCAAATTTACAAATATAATGTATGAGTTTCCAGATGTAATTCTTTACTCGCAGTATGTTAATGAAGTGAGTGTGGGTGGGGTCCCCTTAACAGCCCCAGTTACTTAACAATTTACTGCATGGTTTTCCAGCCTTATAGGAGATAGTTGGTCTGTTTGCTACATGACTCAGTCAATACTAACTTTATTGCCTTGTTTGTTATCTAAATCAGGTCTGAACTGGCCTAAAGCACTAATTTCTTGGTTATACTTGGGACCAATAGAAAATTACAGAAATAATTTCCCCAAATTTGGGGGGAATTTGACAAATTTTGCAGAAGATTCTGGCGGTGGTTAGTTGATGTTATTGGGGGGGTGGGGGGGTGCCTCTCCTGCGCGGGCGCACACACACACGTGGGTGCACGTGCACACACTCGCGTGGGCACATACAGACACACTCACAGACGATCTCAAAAGCGGGGCCTCGAGTTGAGTGAAGCCCATTTCCCACTTACGCAGCACCACGCATGCGTGTCTGGAGCCGCTCCACCTACAGTCGTCGCATCGAGTAAACAGCCGGCGACAGCGCAGAGCCCCGGGTGCTGAGCAAACTTCATTTTTACAGGCTTTTAGTGGAAGGGGGCTTGTTTGTAACGGAGTTTTTGCGGATTCCGTTGTTTAGAATATTTTGGTGGATTCCGTGGAAAAATTGAGACCAACCTTTTCTTTTTGCCCAGGCTATACTCTAAAACAGAACCATTCCTGGGTCTACGTCAATACTCCAGTCCTGGTTATGATGGAGGGAACATTTTTTAAAAATCTTAAAAGTGCCTTAAAATACCTTAAATTCATTTTCAGACATTGCCGTGCAAGTGTACTGGACTGAGCGTGTTCTATTTATACCAAGCACTCCGCCTCAGTCTCCTCCCTTATAATTAAATGTTGTGCTTCGTTGGAAGAAGCCAATTTGTCTTTTGATTAGGTTTACCACAGGGTGTTTGTGTTTTATTACTTGTGACTGCAGAGCCCAAACAAATTTGTGTTAATTGATCTGATTTTAAAATATTGGTGCATGGTGGCCCTGATATTGCTGTAATAAACCCTTCAAAAAAAATTGAGAAAAAAATAATGATTTGGTCACTCACTCAATCCACGACTGTTTGTGGAACAATTGGCTGCCGTGTTTCACCCACAAAAATATATATGTAGTCAATTCACTTTACAGTATATTCTGTGCAGCGCTTGGCGAGGTTTCGAAGACGTGATAAGGCACTCTATCAAATAATGGATTATTATTAATTATTATAAATGTTTCCCTTCATTATAAGTAGACTTTGGATTTGTGCGTAAATTCAGAACAATCCAATATCAGTTTTCTATGTGGATGTCCAAGGTTCTGGGCCTAGAATCTACACCAGGCTTAGGTTTGTGATACCAGACAGATTTGATTCAAAAGCATATTGATTTAGTACAAATTCTTTGAATTTAAAAACACTGGAGCTTGTTTCCTGACTCCTTCCATGTAATTGTCTTCCCTACTAAACCTATACACTGTTTTTGTTTATCCTACACCTCCCCCGAGGTCTTGTGAGCTATACCCCTAGGTATAGTTGGTAGTTGTCAGCTGCTTGATTGTCAGCAGGTTATTTGATTTTTGGGAGAGAGGAAAACATTGCTGGCCATTCTGATCCTGGCCTCACGAGATGCTTAAATGCACTCTCTTGGGAACGATAACAAAGAGAATCTCCAGGTTCTGATCAGGAGCAGGAACCTTGGCTGATCTTATTCTAGCCATTGGTACCATGTCTAGTTTGCCCAAATGTGGAGTCCTGTAGTGTAGTGGCTAGAGCATTCGCCTCGCAAGTGAGAAGACCTGGGTTCCAATCCTGGGCGGGGCAAAACGATGGACAACTTTCCTGACTCCACACGCATCTGTTTAGTAAGTAGGAACCCGGTTGTTAGTTGATAACTCGAGGATGGCTACGAGGATGACTAGGGGAAGCAGACAAATGTATGGACCACAGACCTGCCAGGTATAGATTTTGTTGGGGTCAGCAGATTGATAGTTCACTTGATTGGAAATGACTTTATAAAAAAAACAAACCAATTGGATGCAACTTTCCTTTGCAGCCCAGTGAAGTTCTCTGCTGCAGACTGCTGGGGCCGGGGAGCCAGCATGGAAACACCCAGAGGGCGGCTGTTGTCAGACTACCCGATGGATTTCGGGATGGAACAGATGGACGTGACGGTTAGTGGAGAGGCTTCTGCCCCACTGCCTATCCGACACCCCGTGGGCGTGAGCTCTGTGCCTTTCAAAAAGCAAACTTATCCTGTGCCCCCAAACAGACCTGCACACCTGCGCATGAACCTATGACGACAAGTGAACTTATAAGGAGAAAGCATCAATGCAAGGCAGCGTGTGAGCACTAAGTACGTGTTTTTGGGGGTACCGAGCCTCCCCACCCCCCTTTCAAATTAACCAATGGAAGTTTCAGTCAGGACAATTATGCAATGAAACTTGCGCATCACTGAGGACATTTTGATGAGAAAAGGAAGGTTAAAATAATGGGTGGGGTGATGGACATCACTGATCTTTGTACTGACACTTTGAGACACATGTACAGCTCTGGGCAGGGGTATTAACGTCCCACGCAGCATTTCTTCTTGAAGTTCTGCTCTAGACATTAACGGGAAAAGTCCATGACACTCTGTAGTGGCGTTGAAGAAATCTTGCTGCTTGATGCCCAATGGTGCAGAGTATTATTACCAAAGGTAGAGTTGCATAACTTTGCCTGAATCTCACGAGCAAAGTGTAACTTGTGTTGGCAAAGGGTCTGAAATATTGGGAATGCTTGTACCTGGGATAGGAAAGATTACACATTGTTGCAATATTATCAAAGCCTAAAGTCTCAATACTGTCGTAATATATTGGAGCTCACGTAAATCCAAACGATGGAGCAAAATCATGCATTTAATGAATAAATAAAAATCTGTAAACTACGTGTTGTAATGCGTGCAGTGGTGATCTCACCACCGTATAAACTCTTCAGTGCATAAGTCTCTTTTTAAAAAAAACACACAAATTGCTTTACACGGACATAATGTATGACCGTCTTTTAAAGTTTACCACAGTATTTGCCTTTTTACCCACTGCCACCATACTCTTGAGAGCGGTCCGCACTTGGTCAAATTTAGAGTAACAATGGAAAATGCGGCTACACTTCCACTCACAGACGTTGCTGCACTTTAGAACAGACATTAATTATCGTGCGGGAGCGGGGGTTGCTCTCTTCAATTTGCGTCCTTTTACGTTTCAACCTGTAAACTCTCAGAAGTATGTTAGCATTCTGGTAGTCGCACATCAACCGTGCACAGGACATTACACCAAAAGTTTGTGTCTCTGTTCATAATACTGTGGTCTACAAATGGGAGGAATGGAGGTAAGAAAGTGGAGGTCAAGAATAGATCCATACTCATTCTCACCCTGCCCTGAAACAACTTTAGAAGCATCTGGGATTGGCTTTCAATGCTTCCCGTGGATAAACCATAGGGTGTCATGGTGCTGTGAAACACATGGTGTAGGCCAGTGTCCCAAAGGCACTTCTTCGCAGCTTCTCAAAATATTCTGGCTTTAAGGATAATTTCTCTCATTCTGCTTGCCACCCACTATATATGCTTCCAGGTATGATTGTGTGAAGTGTCGGAGCTGAATTAGCTTTATTTTCGGGGCCAAGGAAGAGAAGGAGTGCTTCCACAAGCTGCATTTTATTTTAAAAAAACAAAACTCATCTCCCTGTTGCTGTTGAAACCATTGGGAATCAAGCCATCAATGTATGGAAAGGTAACCTGGCATGTCTTGGCCTTTTTTAGGTGTACAAAACTAATGCAAGTGATTCAGGGGAGATTAAAAAAAGTAAAAGTGACTGAATTACAGATGATCAGAGGAGAACTATTACTCCCTACATTTAAGGTTATTAATCTTCTGGATATGCAGAAAGCTCTCCTTAACATGATGTAGAGCATGATTTAATAATGAGGGCCTTGGTTCCTCTTTGAAGCCCATGTCATTGCAGTAATGATGGGAGTCGATCATCGAGCAGGGTTTTACACTGGACGTATGAGTCTTGTGTTAAACGCTAATTTAGAAGTGCCATAAGAATCCAGGTGGCCTAAGTCAATCAGCTCAGACGAGCGGAATACAAAACAGCGGTGAGAGAGAGACTGTTGGAGAGAAAAATAATGCAGTGAAAAGAATGGCTTTCCCTGTGGCTTTGGCTGAAGCTGAGCAGCATTGGGGTTTATTTTAAGGCAGTTCATTGCCATGTTTAATAACGCGGTGAAGTGATGTGCATTACTGTGAAAGAAACTAGAGAGTAATTTTTCCCTTCTGTTTTACAGCGTTGCACGGGTTACATACGCAATCGCAGCAAGCGAATGTAGAAAATTCTTAGATGAGTGTTTCTCATGCCACTAATGTATCACCGTAAAATATGAAGTTGATTCAAAATTACACAAGATTGTGGGTTGTATTGTGGTATAAATGGAATATAGTTTCTAAATTCTCACAGAATTTGCTACACAGGTGGTGGGATTTATTTTCTGGCACGGCCTTTTATATTGATCGGTCAATCTTTTTAATAATTTAGAAAAGACTTCATTAGAGAGATTATAACCAAAACTTCAAAAGTTGACACATGCGTCGTACACTGGATTCTATGCCGTGAGACTTAAGTTTTGCTTTTAGCTTTATCGTGTCTTGAGAAAATCCCCCTCTTTGACCATGCTGTTTGTCTGTCGTGACTGAATGAATGAACGCCACTCTTTCAGGAATGTGTAACTTCGTTCACTTGAAAAACCATGTTAATGGCCAGGAATGCCGAGCTTTACCCTGAAAAATAAGCATTAAAAATTACTGTTAGGGTGGCTTGTCTCAACGTGATGTGTCACTTGCTGTAGTCACACTTTTCATTAGACTGACTGGAAGTTCTTTGCCTACAAGGTGGAACTGTTTATTCCCATATAATTTCCTTTTGTTGTAGTCTGTTGGGTTTGAGAAGACAGGTGAGCTAGCCATGAACATGTTGCTGGCAGGGTTATTGAGAGACCAGCCATCAGTGCAACCACTGTGCTTTTTCCTCCTCCCCTGTGATTTCAGAGTGAAACAACCTGATCTTCACTCAGCACCTCCTCGCAATGGCACAGTTATGATCGGAGCAAACGCAGATCCTACTGTTCTGTGGTGATACGTTTAATCAGCTTCCATAAGCACATTACTGTGCCTCTGTACCAGACTTGAGATTTGGATGCCTGCTTCGCAGTCATTGATGGCAGGTGATGTGTTATATGGTAACCTGGGCAGGGAAATTTGAATGAGTGCCTGTATAAACCACAGCTAACCAAATTCAACGGTGACATCCTCTGAATGGCTAAGGCAGCTTGGCTTTCAACTTGAGAGAATAGCTTAAACAGGTTAAAAAGCAAATGAAAGAAAGAAATGTTAAACTAAGACATGAAGTTTACAAGGACATTTCTACCTCCCGCTGTACTACCTTTCTCATCGACTTATAAAATCTCTTTTGTTCTATTTTGGTGCTGAAAGATTTCAATACTCCAAAGGGTTAGCTAACAGAGGTCACCCAAAAGCTGGGCTGAAATGCAGTTCAGGCACCGACCTACCTTTGAGTTTGCCATTACTGTTCGGGTATGATTAAGGGTAAGTTTACCCATTGCTTAAAGAATATCAAATTTCAGACTAATGTTGCTGTGTTGTTGAATAATGATAGTATCTTCACATATTTTCAGAATAAGCAACAAATCAGATCTGTGTCTCGCTCAGCAGTGACTTAATGTATAAAAGAGTTTAAAAAAATACATTTTTATAAATGTCAGAGTGTAAATTGTAAGCAGATTTTGCTTTCTACCCGTTTATACTATTGAATGGGAAAGAAACTGGAAATAGGACTTGCTAACTAGCTAGAGGAGCAAACGTGTCTTAATAAGCATTGCTATTATTGTTAATATTGTGACCAATAATCTTATCACATCTTGTTTCTTGTTTAAATTGAAAAGTTTGTTTTAAATTGTGTGTGGAGTATGACTCCTGATTTTTTTTCTTTTGTGATGTTTTGAATTTGAGAAAGCTGTAGGAATTCCAACTGTAGTGTACGTTCCTGCCCTGTACGCAGCTTGTAACTGTGATTATGAAGAGATGCATGTCTTGCCGTGCCTCGCTACTGTAGCTGACCTGGAGAATAGGTGGGCAAAGGAAGCGAGAATTAACTATCGTAGGGGCTGTGTTGTGTGTGTGTGTGAGTCAGTGTGAGAGTGAGTCTGAGTGTGTGTGTGGGAAGGGGGAAGAAGAATTTTCTTCAGATTTCACTGGATTAAGACACAATATGGCAACTGCTGTTTGTCTATTGCTTCAACGCAATTGTAGACTTGGTCTCAGAAAATAGCAGCTGAATCATGAATGCCCAAAGCCAACACTATTTAAAAAAAAACTAAATTTAATACATTGCAACATGTTTATCACACGCTGCCGGTTGATAGACTTTTTAAAAAATAAAAATACATATGTTTTGCTTGATTCTCCAATCTTTAAGATCTATATATATATATATTATATATATCATATGTATATATGTATCATACGTATATATATATCATATTTATATATGCATATATATGTGTGTGTGTGTGAGACCTACTGTGTGATGGTGTGATATCACTACACATGTCCTCCATTGAAATAGGTTTCCTGTAAATCCCACTTGGATAAATGGTGAGATTTGTCTGGTGTCTCGCTGAAAATCAAGTGGTGCTTAAGTGTTCTACCATTGGGAAAAATAAGAACTTCATTCACACTTTGTGCTCATTGATTACTCGGGAATTATTGAATCAACCACCACCCCCTTCGGAAAACAAAAGTCAAGTCTCCTATAGCAAGTAAAACCTGTATTCCTACAGCGATTGTTTCAGTCGTACTTTTCTATATTGCTAATGCTTCAGTGAATGCCTAGCTCAAACTATGCAAAGCACTTCTCCCCCCCCACACCCCCCCATTTGTTTAAATTTAAAAAGGCCTGAAAGCATTTATGTCGTTATCATGAAGTTTATAAGTTTAGTAGTATAAAAATGTAATGGATTTAATTTCACTTTTTGCCAGGTATATAGAGAGTATGAAAGCTTTTGCCAGTCCGTATTTTAGAATGGTATTTGGACTTTAGTTGCACTGGGTTGAATTGATCAGAAGTATATGATGACAAGTATTTCCTTCTCTTTACCTACCCTACATATAGATTTATTTAGTAGATTTTAAGGGTTATTTTGTACTCTTGTACCTTAAATATGAATTATGGACTTGGGGGATGGGTGGGGGGATGTTTCAGTCAAGTTCTTGATTTTTTTTTAAAAAAAGGAAATATTCTTGACGTGTACACAGTATTTATCGACCACTATATTTTTGCCTGTAAATGTTTGTGAATGCTGCCAATTACATTTATTTGTGTTTGCTATTCGGGTATATATGCCACAGGTCACACTTCATGCAGAAACATTTGTGGTTCTTACAAATTGGCTCAGAATGAGGAGGCTGTCAGCTGTCTGTAGCCAGAAATAAGTTTGAATGCCTGAGCCAGGGTTTAGATTGCTTGTGGAGGCTTACCAGTGCTGTTGCCGGCAGGTTATATCTATTGCTAATGACTGAACAGTTTATCACGGTAAATTTAACCTTATGTTGAAATCTGTTCAGCCCAACAATTAGATGATTTAGGCTGTTTTGCTTGAAAAAAAGAAGGGAACATTTCACTTGATCTAAAAGTTGCAATGAATAGGCATGTGCATTTTTTGTTTGTACTTGGGTGACGGTTTTAGCCTGAGGCGGAGATTAATTATCGTTGCTGTCACAGTATCCCAGCTCTGCACCTATGTTCTTGTCTCCTCATACTTTTTCTCTATTGAAATGAAGTTGCGATGAAACTCACATTGACTCTCACGTCTTG